AGGGCACAACTATTCTCTAAGAGCAACCCACCACCAGGGGGCGCCATGCCCTTCAAAATATCATTAAGGCAGGTGGGATTAAAATGCAGCTGGAATGAACAGATTTATGGGCAAACCTTTACATATTGAAGATGTTCATGTAATGTTGAACTATAGACTAAAGAGAATCACATTGACTAATTGGAAAAATGATATTATTCTACATGTCAATGATTGTGGCCAATACAGGGAATCTTTGACTTATGACTGGCCACTTAATGACTATTTGTAATTATTACAAACCTCCCTGGAGCTACTTGTGACCAGTTTTCAAAATTAAGACAGCTGCGCATGCGTGCACACACACACACATATACACACACACCTTACAATTACAAATAAAACTCAAACCTAGATCATACTATTATGCACCGAAGTACAGGTAGTCCTTGACTTATTACCACAATTGAGGCCAAAATTTCTATTAAGTGAGACATTCATTAAGTGAGCTTTGTCCCATTTTACGACCTTTCTTGCCATAGTTGTTAAGTGAATCCTTGCAGTTATTGTTAGTAACATGCTTGTTAAGTGAATCTAACAATTAAGTTGTCAGAGAGGAAGTGATAGAGAGTGTTGAAGTTGCCGGAACCTTTGGTGAAAGTGACCATGTCATACTAGAATTTAATATAATGCAAACACAAGCAATAGAAAATAATCCAACCAGCGTCTTAAATTTTAAAAGAGCTGATTTTAACAAATTCAGAGAGACCCTAGAAAAGATTCCATGGATGAAAATCCTAAAGGGGAAAGAAATGTGGGAAATTGAAAAATACGATCATAAAAGCCCAGTCTGCCACAATACCACTGAGAGAGAAAAACAAGAAATTCAAGAAGAATCCAGCATGACTGCACAAAAATCTCTCTGACAAATTGAAAAACAAAAAGGACAAGTACAAAAAATGGAAAGAGGGACACATAACTAAGGCTGATTATCAGCAGATAGTCAGAACATAAAAAGATGAAGTCAGGAAAGCAAAGGCTTAGAATGAACAAAGACTTGCAACAAAAGTCAAAGATAATTTTAAAAAGTTTCTTTCAACATATTAATAATAAGAAAAAAGTATAGGAAACAGTTGGGCCACTAAACAGAAGATAGCAAGGAAGTAACAGGCAGTAGGAGAAAGTAGAGCTGCTTAATTCATTCTTTGCATCAGTCTTCATGCCAAAATAATAACCCAATGTACTAAAAAAACTACTGTAAAAGATAAACTAGAAATAAAAATTAAAATAAGCAAGAAAATGATAAGGAAGCACCTATCTAACCTTGACAAATATAAATCACCAGGACCTGATAGATTACATCACAGAGTTCTGAATGAGTTGGCAGATATTTTCTCAGAACCATTGTACCATATCTTTCAAAAATCCTGGAGCACCAGGGAAATACCTGAGGATTGGAAAAGGGCTAATGTGGTTCCCATCTTCAAAAAAGAGGAAAAAAACAGACCCAGGAAACTATAGAGCAATCAGTCTAACATCAATACCTGGGAAAATCCTGGAAAAGATAATCAAAAAATATATCTGTGAGCAACTAGAAGCAAATAAAGCTATAAGTAGTAGCCAGCACGGGTTTGTTAAAAACAGATCATGTCAAACCAATCCTATTTCATTCTCTGATAAAGGGACTAATTAGTAGACCAGCAAAATGCTGTGGACATAGTATACTTACAGTAGATTTCAGTAAGACATTTCACAAAGTAGACCACAACCTACTTCTTGGTATGCTAGAAAAATGTGGACTAGACAACATCACCACCAGATCAATTTGTAGCTGGCTGACAACCCATACTCAATGAGTAGTCCTTAATGGTACTACATCCACATGAAGAGAAGTAAGCAGTGGGTTCTAAAAGGCTCCATGCTAGGGCCAATATTCTTCAAAATTTTCATAAATGACTTAGTTAAGGGAATAGAAGGGGAACTCATCCAATTGGCAGATGACACTAAGCTGGCAGGAATAGCCAATACCCCAGAAGACAAGCTCAGGATCCAAAAAGATCTTGACAGACTTGAACAGTGGGCCTTATCCAACAAAATGAAAAATCAAAGGTATAATTACAGATTAGGCAAGACCTGGCTCAAAAACAGTAACTGTGAGAGGAACCTTGGCATCCTAGTGAATGATCATTTGAATATGAGCCAGCAATGTGCAGCTGCCACCAAAAAAGCTAATTCAACCTTGGCTTGTATAAACAGAGGCATAGAATCAAGATCACATGAAGTATTAGTACCACTTTATAAAAACCTAGACCACACCTGGAATACTGCAACCTATTTTGATCACGATACTACAGAAAAGATGTTGAGACTTTGGAAAAAGTTCAGAGACTAAGATGATCAAAGGCCTGGAGACTAAAACACATGAAGAACAGCTGCAGGTTTTGGATCTGGCTAGTCTAAAGAAAAGAAGAATTAGGAGGTGACATGATAAAAGTATTTCAGTATTTGAGGGCTACCCACAAAGAAGAGGGGGTCAAATTATTCTCCAAAGCACCAGAGTACAGCACAAGAAACAATAATTGGAAACCAATTGTTAGGAATGATAATTACCTAACAGTTGGGATGGCAATATATAAACCAAGATAGTCATTTAATACTGTTGTATCTTTAAGAGAATGTTGTAATTGTGATTGGCTGAGGTTCCTCCAATGGCCATAAGATGGAGCCAGAAACCTGGTTTGTTCTTCTTGCATTTCCCTGTTGCCTTTTGCCTGATCGTCATTCTGCTTGGATTGCTGTGAGTCTTGCAATCATTAGCAAACTCCGTTTATTGAACTTTGTTTATGATAATGGTAAAGAAAAGAACCTAATTTTTTGATTATCCCTGGACTGATTTTTTGAATACTAACTGCTTTAACCGTGTATGATTTGGACTGTTTGCTGGACTTTGTTTACTCATTTACTGGAAGTAAAACCTACATTTTATTATTCAGTGTATCTGTGTGCTGGTTGTATGTTATTCAACACCACTCCCACTATATTTCCCTGAGCGCACTCATTCTCCTAACGGGGAATACCTCAACACCAATGAAAGAGAGAAGCAACCTGTAATCAAGGAGAAACTTCCTGACAGTGAGGACAATTAACCAGTGGAACAGCTGACCTCCAGAAATTGTGGACACTCCAATACTGGAGGTGACTGGACAGTTACTTGTCTGAAATGGTATAGGATTCCCAGCTTGAGCAGTGGGATGGACTAGAATACCTCCAAGGTCCCTTCCATTCTATTGGATCTGATTTCCCCATTGACTCTGCTTGTCAGAAGGTTGCAAAAGGGGATCACGTGATCCCTGGACACTGTCCAAATTTTGAATGCTGCAATGGTCGTAAATGTGAAAAATGGTCATAAGTCCCTTTTATCAGTGCCGTAGTTACTTTGGTCACTAAATGAACTGTTCTAAGTAAGGACTGCACACCAGAGTACTGCACACCAGAACAACTACACAAGTTTTTCCCCAAACACCATCACTCTGCTAAATAAATAATTCCCTCAACACTGTTCAACTATTTACAAAGTCTGTACCACTATTGCTATTAATCTTCTCATCACTCCTTATCACCCATCCCCTGCCACTTGTGACTGTATGACTGTAACTTTGTCATTTGTATCCTTACAATTTATATTGACTGTTTCCTAGTATGATTTGATTGCTTATTGTACCCTATGACTATCGTTGTTGTACCTTATGACTCTTGACTCATGTATCTTTTCTTTTGTGTACACTGAGAGCATTTGCACCAAGACAAATTCCTTGTGTGTCCAATAAAGAATTCAATTCAATTCAATTCTATGGGACAACCTATACAGTTGTGCCTGTTGCATTTGGCATGGCATTTTACAGTCTGTTCTGTAGAATTGCAGACACTTTTTCCTTCCTTCAGGAGCACAACCATGTGCCAGAATCAATCCTTGTGTAAATAATATTATAAATATGGTACAGCTAGTTCATAAAAAAATTCAACTGGTGTGGATTCTTTAATTCACCAATAGCACAATAACACAACCATCAGAGATTTAAGACAAACAGTAAAAACAGAACTTAGCTGCATGACAACTGTGAGGTCAAAAGTGTGGAGCTCCATTCCTCCACCAGCTTTGGACACTGAACTTAAATTTGACTCAGTTAGAAGGTTGAGTACATTCATCCTCAAACTGGACCGATTCTGACCCGTTTCTTCCTCCAACTAGTACATTCTTTGCCAGGAAGGGATTCTCCTTGAGAGCCACCTCCGACCTAAGCACCTGCCCAAAGTCCCTCGTTCCTGGTCCTCTGATTGGGATGAAGGACCTGTTGCCTCCACACGATGCTACTCTCAGCCCTCCGCATCAGCCCAGCCAGGGACATTTAAATGCCCCCTGGGGAGGGCGGGAAAAGAGGGCTCCGCTACCACAGGGAGGCACCGCCCGTATGCGCCCAGCCGCCTTTAGCTATTGCCCAAGCCAATCCCCGCAGGCACAAAACTCGCAGCTCAGCGGGAGTAAGGCGGCTTTCCCCGCTCCTCATGGATCTCCCGGGCGGCTGGACCGGCGGTCTCCCGCCTCCGACAGCAAAGGCTCCCTGCGTGCAAAACGTGCCCCGGGCCTGCAGCATTTCCACGTACAGCGAAGGCCCCACTTCCTTCTTCTCTCCCTTCCGTCCCAGCAGGCGCCCCCCTCCCCGGCTGTGGGGGAGTCTGGCTGCGCCGCTAGCAGCAGCCCAAGCCGGACTACACGGGACGAAAGCGGCCGCCCCGCGGGCCGGCCTGCTACCTTCCTTGAGCTGCTAGCTTGCGGCGTGCAGGGGGCGCAGGCAACCCTGCTGCCCCCGGAGCAGCCGCGCAAACGCGGCCGTCTCCAGCCCTCCCCGGCCCGCAAGAGCCGCCTTCCGAGAGGCGGAGCGGGCCGCCCCGCGCAGCCAATCTCCGGCGCCCCGGCCGCTGGTCGGGCCGAGCCCAGCGCGTCGGCGGGGGATGCTGCTAGACTGGCGGCGGCGGCGGCGGCGGAGCGGGGCCAAGGCAGGGCGCGGACTGCGCGGCCACATTGTTGCGTCCCTGCTAAGTCTGGGCGGCGGGCGAGTCCCCGCCGCAGCTACAGCTCCGCGGCCTGGGAAGGCAGAACGCGGCGGTGGGTTCCTCGCCCCGATCCCCGCTTGGCTGGAGGGCTGCGAGGCCGGAGGAAGCGCGCGGGGGAGGGCGAGCGCGGGCTGGGCAGGGCAGGAGGCGCCCTCCCTCTCTTCCCCTTCCCTCCAGGCGTTGACCTTCCGGCTTTCCCTCACCCCAGACGCTGGCAGGGAGACAGGTGGTTTTGCCCCGCCTTGTATTTCCCCCGCCCGCCCTCCGCTTTCCCTCGCTTCTCCCCTCCCTGTTGCTCCCCAAGCGCCCTCCTTCGCAAGGGCGTCGTGCAAAGGCGGAGTCCGCCCCAGCCCCTTCAGCGGCCAGCAAGCGCCAGAGTTCGGACAGCCGCTTTCCCGACCGGGTGGCCGTTGGCTGGTGGGGCTGAGGCCGCCTTAGTGGGGTTCTTGGGGTGCTGGCTTGGCCTGGGATACCGGGCGGTTCCAAACAGGCAAAACTTGCCTCAGGTGGGTGGTAGCGCTGGGCGGGGCAGGTGATCAAGGAAGGGCCCGTGGCTAAGTTAGGGTTGTCTCCTTTTCTTCCCAGCTTCTGCTCCTGGGGTCTTCTGAGCCCCCTCCCGGCTCCCGAAAGATGGCAGGCAGTCTATGGAGGAAGGAGTCCTGAGTTTCATGGTTCGCCCCCTGGATGGTGTCCTCACTTTGATCTTCTCTAACTTGCCCCCACTCCTTCCTCCCAGCCCAGGTGAGGAGGGGCCCTGGACCATGAGTCGCTACAGCTTCTCCAACCTGATGGACTGGATGTATGGCGGGGTGGACCCCAGCTTTGAAGGCAATGGGGGCCGTGAGTGTGCTGCCTTCCTCCCTTGGGAGCAGCGTCTGCTGGAGAGCGTGGTCTTTACCATCATGGGCATTCTGGAGATCCTGGTCTCTCTGCAGAAGATCAGAAGGTCCACGGCCAGGGAAGCTGCTGACCTCTTGGCTCAGTCCCGGGTCAAGGGGGAAAGTTGGGGCAAAAATCTCTTGCTGGTGACCCTCTGCCTGACTTTCGGACTTGAAGTGGGATTCAAGTTTGCCTCGAGGACGGTCATCTACTTGCTGAACCCTTGCCATGTGGTTACGATGATGCAGGTAATGAACTGTCTTCCTCCAGATAGTTTGAACTACCAGTAGAAGAGAATATTTGTAGCTCAGTATTTGAACTGGGGGATTCCTGATGCTCTCTGAACTTGGTGGTTTTCTTGCAGACGTTTCAGATCCAGCTAGGTAAAGGAATCTCTCCAAGAAAACCAGCAAGCTCAGAGAGCACTAAAGACACTAAAGGTTTGTGCTACAACTACCATCGGCCACAGCTATCTAGGCAGCCTCAAGATGGGCAGGGCTGCTTGAAATATGGAAAAGGCCTTTTGTATCCAAAGAGGCAGCTGCTTTTACTTTAGCCAATAGTTCTTTTTGCATTCCCTTCTTTTTATCAGTGCCAAATGTTACTTTGCAACTGGTCTTCTTAGCAAAGAGGTGAGGCTGGGAGAAAGAACAGATCCAGCATTCAGCTGCTTGAGAGAATCCAAATCTCTTTTATGGTCTCTGAAAAACTACAAGGCTGGTGCCAATTGGGTCCGCTGAGGAGGCTCTTTCAGGACCAATCTGTGGGCTGGTTTCTCCCCCCCGCCCCCCAGTCAAATGAGGAATTTAGGAATGTGAGTTGAATGTTACCAGCTGTTTTTGTGTAGTAGTTTTAAGAAGAGGCTGGACAGCCAGCCACTTGTCTGAAATGGTATAGGATCTCCTACTCGAGCAGGGGTTGGACTACAAGACCTCCAAGGTCCCTTCGGACTCTATTATTCTGTATTTGAATTATGACCATAGTTGGAAACAGAATTTCTATTGTGAAGTAATGTGGCTGTTAAATGAGTTGTGTATTTTTGCCACAGTTCTTAGGCAGTTCACATGCCAGTTGCCAAATGTTGATCATGTGACTGTAGGGATGCCGAGACGGTTGCAATGTGAGGACCGGTAGTTGTCCCAAAGGTGCTGTTCCAAAAGGCAACTGGACTTTCTTGATTTTTTTTCTTTGAAAACATTTTGCTTTTCATCAAGAAGTTTCTTCAGTTCAGCAAGTGGACTTGTTTGTTTTCATCCAGTTTTTCTAACAGCAACATTTCTTCAAGCAAGGAGGCCACTGGGCTTTTATACTTTGATCAGCAGTGAGTTCAGTCAACTTTCTGTTTTCCAGTGGGGAATGTATGAAATCCAAAGTCCATACGGTTAGCAAAATGATTTCCACTGGTCCAATCTTCAGTGTAGTTGTTTGTCATCTTTCAGTTTGCATGGAAAAAGTCATTGCTACCAGGTGCACAAAACCAAACAGAACTCAAAGGGAGATCTGTGGGAAAGGACACGAAATTAAACAAGCATAGAGTTTGTTTTAGCCTTAACTTGGTGATAGTCGAACTGTCCATGATTAGGACTGGGCTGGAAAGAAAGTGACAGAATGACAAAAAAGCCAGGGAAACAAGGAAGATTAAATTCTCAGTTTTGGAGGCATTGAGACTACAGTGAAATATAAGAAAGTCAATCACCCAAAACCCCACATTCCAATCTCATTTTTTGGGGTCACCAGAACCCCCCAACCACTCTTGCTGCAATTTTGTGAGAAGGTATCACTGCCTCTCTCCATAAGATTGTTCACTTGAAATGGTGTGATGTTTTACTATTTTACTACAAATCATGATTTTGCAGAGAATATGCCAAATTATATTGGACTACTGGATTGAACTGCATATATTATTTAGACTGTTTTTTCCCCAATTATTTTGAAGATTGTGATGTATCTATTGGTCTGAGCAAACCTTGAAAGTAAAGAGGGGTATATAATACAAGAAGGTAAAGAAATTAAATTAATCTGAACTAAAAATAGATGCTCTTGAAAAAAGTTTATGCAAAATTCTCTCCCCCTCCCCCCATTTCTGCCAAAGGATCATTTATGGTGGAGACCAGTTATCCAACTTTGGTGATTCGTAGATGTGCAGATAAGCAACTCCGATAGCAATGGCCCTATCAGGGAATTCTGAGAGTCGAAGGCCAAATATCTGGAGGTAGCCAAGTTTTAGCAACAAGGCGAAGGGATTGAGTTTTGAGACTACTGATCCCATAATCGCTTGCCATTGGTCCTATAGTTTATGGCTGATGAGAGTTGAAATCCAACAGGTCAGGAGAGTCAAAGATAAGTTCTCCCACTGGCGTAGATAATGCTATTAGCAAACCGGAAGCCCATTAATAAAGCTCATTGATGGGAACTCCAGATATTGATGAATTCCAGGTGCCAGGAGACTCATCTACAAAATTAAGGCAATGGTGCATTGTTACCATAATCCATAGTTAGTCATCCTACTATAATTCTAGCACTTCAGGGTTTTTCTTAAAATCTTTTATGAAGATAAGAATGTTTTTACCCCACATATCACTGGTGTCAAACTTGCGGTGTCATGTTGCTGTCACGTGACTTTTGCAATGTTTTCCCCATTAGTGGAGGTGGAGTGGGGGGGTGGGCGTGGCCTCTGCGTGACACAGCCTTAATCCAGCACGGTCACTGGCCCTTCAGTGATTCTTTCCAAACATAATTATTTCTAGCAATTTCATTGGGAGAACAACATTCTCTCTTTTTCTAATTTAAAACAAAAACTTTTTTTTAAGAAAAAGTTAAGATAATTCCTGAAAATAGGCAATTAAGGCTCCATACAACCTTAGTAAGAGGTACCAAGCAGAATATGTTGAGTTGTTTTCATGATATTAAAAAAGAAATGTAATTTTTGAGCTTAATAGCAAAACCTGTGCTATATTGTTAGATATAAATATTTAAAAACAAGCAAAAAAGAAAAAAAACAGCCTTAAAAATAACATAGGTAAATATTTAATTTCTGCTTCCCCTTCTTCATCCTCTAATCAGTTTTGTGGGACCTGCTGATGTATATTTTAGAAACCACACTTCAAGTGACTCTATTTCCCTTGCTGTGCAATACACAGTACAAAATAACAGCATCATGCTTTTGCTTTTCTTCATGTTTGGCAGAAAGAACCCAAACAAGTCAAATCCATTTGCTAAAGCCAGAAAAAAATACATTGTAGTAACCACAAGGAACTGTGAATCAGTGGTCCCCAACCTTTTTTGTGCCACGGCCCGGTACTGGCATCACAAAATGATCCGTGGCCCGGTACTGGCATCAGCACACATGACAAGGCGAGCCGAGCAATCCCAAAGCAAGAGCCCCCTTTTTCGGCTTCATTTGTTCAACTAGAACCCATCCAACAAAGTGGAAAACTTGTCCTTCCACTAAATCCAAATTAAATTTGTTTTCACTCAGTTTTTTTTTTAACAGCGGCATCCCATCTGACCCCCCCCACCTCACGGCGCTTACCCACCCGCTTGCCTTGCAACAAAAAGATTCTCCCACAGAAACGGCGCAACCGACTCCCTGATATCCTCCTACACGGCCGTTTGAATTTAATCTCGCGCCTGGAGGTCACGTGAGCGACACGGTGCTGCCTGATTAGTGCAGCCGGGAGCTTGAAATTAGTAAATCAGGAAGCAACAAAATGTTACCGGCTCACTCTTTCTGTCCAGGGCTCAGCAGCCTGTGTGGTTCTTTTGAAAAATGCATGCCGGCTGTTACCATTCCCTACCCCCCCCCCCCACACTTTCCTCAGGGCTAACCGCCCAGATTGGCTATTTTTTGCATATAAAGTTTTGCGTCTGCCTATATCCTGGTCCTACCTCTCTCTTTTTTTTTTTGTTCTGTAATTTGTGAGTTCCTTTTGTGGGGAACGAGTGCCTGCTGTAGCAGAACTTTATGCAGTTCATTTTTCGTATTTTCATTTTGGGAGAAAGGAAAGAAGAAAAATTGGAGTCTTTAAAAAAAACCTTTCTCATCGAAACAAGATGGCGGCGCCCAGCAAACCGGCGGCCCGGTAGAAAACGTTCCACGGACCAGTACCGGTCCGGGGACCGGTGGTTGGGGACCCCTGCTGTGAATGGATGATAAAAATCTACAGATAGTCCTTGACTAAACAACCACAGTTGAGCCTAAAATTTATCTTGCTAAGTGAAACGTTTGTTGAGTTTTGCTCCATTTTATGACTTTTCTTGCCACAGTTGTTAAGTGAACCACTGCAGTTGTTAAATGAGTGACACGGATGTTTAAGTGAATCTGGTTTCCTTGTTGACTTCGATCGTCCCAAAAGGGGATCACACAATGCCAGGACATTGCAACCGTCATAAATGTGAATCAATTGCCCAGCATCCGAATTTTGATCACATGACCATGGGTATAGTGCAACAGATGTGTGAAAAATGGTCATAAGTCTCCCCCTTTTTTTTAGCACCATTGTAACTTTGAACAGTCACTAAATGAAATGTAAGATGAGGACTATTTGTACTACCAGCAAAGAAAATGAAGAGCAACATTGACCAATTTCAGCTGTCACTTTAAAGTTACCTAAACAAGTCATATTGACCTGGGCAGGATTTGAAACTGACCAGCAGAGGGATAGACCAGATGCTGTTCAAGTAAAAGCTAGGATTATATGAACAAGCAATATGTATTTTTGTTTAATAGTGTTGCTTGATGTTAACTAGAGTTTGTTGTCTGACTTAGTACATTTCACTGAGCTTCATGCTTCATGCTGTCATGTCATAGGGTTGATAGGGACCTCAGAGATCATCTGGCTCAACCCCTTCCTTAATGCAGGATTACTGGAGGGGTTAAAGAATAGACTGCACAGCCATTTGAGTAGGATAGTGTAAGGCTCCTGCCCTGAACAGGAGGTTGGACTAGGAGACCACCCTCTGCTTCTGTGTTCTATGATTCTATTGGCTGTGTTATTTCTAAAAAGCTTCTGATGCTCGTGAGGTAACCAACTTTCACCTGAACTCTCAGAAGGCCGGGGCTTTCTTCTCATTCTTCATTTTTCTTCCTTTCAAAAACATGATTGCTCCAAGGTTGTGACATTGTGTAACATTGCGCAAGTGCCCCCCTGCTTGAATAGGTTGCTGATTCCTAGTTTAGTGGGATGTGTTAACTTCCCCATCATGCCATGTTCTGTATTTATTGCTGACCTTAGAAATGGGTAAATTT